GGTCTACAAAGCAAGGTCCAAGACAGCCTCCAAAACAATACAGAGAAACCCTATCACCAAAACCAAAACCAAAACCAAAAAAAAAAACACAACAAAAACAAAAAAAGAATGTCATTATATATCTTTTATTATGCTGTCTTTCTCATTAGAATATAAATGCAGACACACCTAAGGATCTCTCTCTTACCTCCACTGCTATATACCCAGAGCCTAAAAAATGTCTGACATATAATGAATGGTCAATATAATCTGTGGCCTAAATTGACAGGCTCATCATATGACTGGAACCTTATTAGATAGTATAAAGACACACATAAGATACACATGAGAAGGCACTAAAATAGACCCAGAGATTCTCTCTTCAGTACTTTAATCCTTCATTATGTCATGAAGGTCTCTGTTAGTGCTTGATTATCTCTACTACCTTATCTTTTACAACTGGAAAGTGATCTGTAGATTCACAGCCTATTAAAAGTCTTTTATAATCCTAAGGTAAAATAAAGAAGCAAATGAATAAATGTTTAGGAAAATCAACATAAAAGACTTTTACACAGAATACTATCTGACTAGCATTTAGTAATTGTGTCTTCTTTTCTTTTCTCTCTCTCTCTCTTTTGATTTTGAATTTTTGAGACAGGGTATCTCTGTAGCTTTGGAGCCTGTTATGGAACTGTCTCTCCCCACACCATGTGGGTCCAGAGGATGGAACTCAGATTATCAGTCTTAGTGGCTGGCACACCCACCTGCTGAATCATGTGTTCCATTTAAGCATCCCAACAATTCTAGGAGTAAAGTATAAATTTGCAAATGAAGAAACGATAGGCGAATCTCTCAAAAGATTCAGAGCTTACTCCACTCAGATAAGCTTCACATAAAACGTGCTATTTTATTAAAATGTATAATTCAGCGTCTCTTTGTATATTTATGATGGTGTGTAACTTATCATTACTACCTAATTGCAGAACATTCTCATCCTCAGAAAAGCCAATAACCTTTACTTATCACCTCCAGTTCCCTTCCTAATCCTAAGCAATACTAATCTGCTTTCAGAGTATATATTCACCTTTCCTAGACACTGAAAATAAATGGAATTGTACCTGTTGTAGGGAAAAGGGACCAGTCAAAGAATCACACCCTGAGCAGAGCCAAAGAAACACACTTTGGCCCTGCAACCAGAACCAAAGAAATGTACCCTGACCCTGAAACCAGTGCCAAAATAACACACTTTGCCCCTGGAATCAGAGTTAGTGAAAGAAATGCACCCTGGCCCTAAAATTGGAGCCAAAAGGCTAAAAAGGACTAGAGAAAGAAACATACTTTGGCCCTGAAACCAGAGCCAAATCTGACTCTAATCCTGTGCAGAAAAGTAACCAATCCTCGAGCAGAGCTCTAGCCAATCTGAGCTCAGCACTAAAATCTGACCAATCCCCACCCTGGAAGCCCTATATAAACCCTGTGTGTGTTCAGCTTGTGGCTGTTCCCTACCTGGCTGTCCTCTGATACTCTGGCAGAGGGCAGCCACTCTCCTGGATTCTTCCCTCCCAATAAACCCCTTGGATGAGCTTTGGGTGAAGATCTTTTGCTGAGGCGGAGCAGAGAGAGCAGGGCTGTAACACTTTTGCAGGGGAAACCTTCCCTTGGCAGAAGGGAGTTGTTACACTCTGCTCTCTCTTGGCTCTCTGCTCTCCCCTTTACACTCCGCTCTCAGCTCTCCACTCTCCACTCTCCACGAGCAGAGCTGAACTGTAGCAACTTCACCTGAGAAACCTCCTGCCAAGCAAAACTGCTACACTGGGTGAACATCTCCAGCTAGAAGACCCTGTCCTGCCGGAGCAGAGCCGATACACTGGGGAAGCCTTTCCCTGAGGCTTGACTGTAAGCTGCTAAGCTTACTACAACCCATGGTAGTCCTTGGCTCTTGAGTTCCAGGATACCTTTCCACCCGAGCTGTGTAACACTCAATATTCTGTGACTCCCGAGTGCCAGAATACCTATCCCATCACGATCCAACTGAAATGCCTACACCTGTGGTTTTTCTTTTTCTTTTTTGAGACAGGGGTTCTCTGTATTGTTTTGGAGGCTGTCCTGGAACTCACTCTGTAGACCAGGCTGGCCTTGAACTTACAGAAATCCACCTGCCTCTGCCTCCCTGAGTGCTGGAATTAAAGGTGTACAGCACCAACGCCCGGGTATACCCATGGTTTTCTGAGAGTGCGCTCTCTCTCTCTCTCTCTCTCTCTCTCTCTCTCTCTCTCTCTCTCTCTCTCTCTCTCTCTCTCTTTCTCTCTCTGTCTCTCTCGTGAGTGTGTGTGTGTGTGGGTTTACTAGGGATTGGACCTATGTCCTCTCAACATACTAGGATACGAAGAACATTATCACTATATGTGATTTTTTGCATCTGCCTTTTAATTAATGTCATGAAGGTTCACACATATTATAGCATGTGTCTGTACTTTAGTACTTTTTATGGAGACTATGGAGTGTATGAGAACATGGCCATAGATCTAGGTGGTGACCTTGAAGTTCACAGATTCCTTGCCAACTCCATCTCCTTAAGAGGTGAGGCTTTCGTGAGGGCTGGCTCCATGCCCTGTTCCTACCCCACCAACAGTGTGGCTGAATCATGAGATATCAGTGTCTCCAGCCCTGAGGATTCATCTGCACAGCAGAGTCTCTGCCTCAATGAAGCCTTCAGTTGACTTTAGACACTATCATTTCATGGATATTCAGGTTGTTTCTACTTTGGTGCTATATGCAATGTATATTTGTGAACAACTTCTTGTTTGGACATGTTTCCACTTCTGAGTATATACTGGTAGAATGGGTTAGGTGGTGATTATATATCCCACCTTTTACAGAAACGCTAAGCCAAATTCTAACATTACTATAACATTTGGATCAGCAGCAGCAACATTTCATTGCTTCATTTCCTCCCTAGAACATGAGAGATGGCTCTTGCTTTTCAAACTTGCATTTGAAGAGGTATCATGAAGTTCGTGCTAATTTCCATTTCCCTAATGATTAGTGACATTTCACGTACTTATTGGTCATTTGTATTATCTTTTCCGAAAGCTCTGATGCAAGTCCTTTGTGAAGGAGGAAAGGAGAGATTACAAGCACCCAAGGAGCAAAAGGAGCCTCTTTCTCAACAGCTGAGAATCACAAATTCAAAAACAATTAGCAACTGCTTGAGGCCTTTCGCCTTTCTCATCTATAAACCTGTAATTTTCTAAGACTCTCCTCAGAAACTGCATTTATAGTAAAGTGCTTGTGCTAACCCCTTGTACAATACTAGTGGCTCCTGGTTTTATCAGATTGTAATCCCACCCAAGGATTTCTGAAGCATCATCCTATAATCTCATTTGTGAAAAATAAAAAGGGATAAGCTTTCTCATTTGAGATGTAACTTCAGAGTCACTAAGAGTTAAATTACTCTTAACTCCTAGGCTTAAAATCTATGCTATAACTGTATTTAATAAAGTGTGTTTCTTTTCAAGAAGCCCACACCTATGGTCTCAGGTGTGCTTTATTTTCCTCTTGAGTGTTTATCTGCCCCCACCAGGGGTTCCTCTGTAGATTGTGCTGGCCTTAAACTCAACAGATCTGCCTGCCACTGCCTCCCAAATGCTGAGATTAAGGAGTGCACCACCACCTCCCTGCTCCCCCCCCAACATTTATTTATGTGGGTGGGGTTCTCCTAGCTTGCATGTGGAAGTCTGTCCTTCCACCATGTGGGTTCTGGGGATGGAATTCAGATGGTCAGGCTTAGTGGCAGACACATTTTACCTGCTGAGTCATCTATGTCAGACGTCTGTTTTTAATTAGCTATAACACTCCTGGTCCCAAACTTCTTTGTTGCATGCAAGCCAAGGATGTGGTTTTACCTTATTCATTGTCCCTGCTGACAGGAACGGTCTGGTTCTGGCTCTATGTCTCTGTTGCTGCTGCAGCCACTACAACTTTAAAAAAATTTTTTTTAAGTTGGGGTCAGGGAGAGAGGGAGAATGTTCACATCATTCCTGCAGACAGGTGTGTCGGATCCCCCGGAACTAAATTTACAGGCATTTGTGGGCGCCCAATATGAGTGGGTGCTGGGAACAAAATCTGAATCCTCTGGAAGCATAGACCTTAATCTCTGAGCCCTTTCTCCAACACCATCACTTTAAAAAAAAGAAAAAAAAATAGTTTTCTTTTGTTGAGTTGTAAATTTCCTTTTTAAAATGTTACATTTGGGACTACTGAGACGTTTTAGAGGTTAAAGACAATTGCTGCTAATACTGATGACCTGAATTGGATGACTAGAACCCACGTGATGGAGAGAACCAACGCCTACAAGTTGTCCTCTGACCTCAGATGTGGCACACATGCTCCCTCCCCACACACAAGAACTAACGTGCAAGGTAACTATAAAGTGTAACCTCTGAAATATAAAGGAAAAACACGAAAATACATGAAATATACAACAGTGTAGTAACAGTCACTACCAAAATGTGGTATGAAACCAGCCCAGGCTGTGGGCTGTATTCCAGTTACAGCCCATCTTGTTGGCCCCTGGCAGAAACCAAGCCGAGTGGCACACATCGTTAATCCCAGCACTCCGAGGTACAGACAGCGACAGTGAATTTCTGAGTTCCAGGCCAGCCTGATGTACATAGAGTTCCAAGCCAGTCAGGGCTACATAGTGAAACTTCCATCCCACAAATAAAGCAAAAACTGCTATGCAAGACGGGAATGGGGAGAGATAATCTCTCTAGACCTCGTTTCTCTAACTTTAAAACGGGAATCAAGTCGTAGTGTCATCCAAATGTTTGGTGCTTGACGCAAATTACCGGGCACAACCGAAGAGCTGACTCAGCGCTTGCCATGGCAACGCCCTCCACAGAGGTTACCTCTGGGCAGGTGACCTGCCGACAGCTCTTCCTCTTCCGGTTCAGAATGCAGCCAACTGCGCACAGCTTTATGCGCACACTCGTCTCACCACGAGCCCACCCCGAGCGCGGGAGAACCATGACCCCAAAGCCTGACTTCCGTTTCCGGGGTGGCAACGCGGCTTCCGGCGGCGTGCCCAGAGCACGCTGTCCCCGCAGGTGCGGCGGCCGGAAGGGTCTGTGCCTGCAGCCGGTAACTGGCCGGGGTGGGAGTGGCCGGGTAGGCGGGACGGAGGGAGGGCAGTGGTGACTTTGTGTGAGTCGGTGCCGGGACGGAGCATCTGGCCTCTTGCTAGGCTTCATCGTGGGCGGGAGTGGGAGACCGACTTCCCTTCCGTCTGAGCCACCTATCCACCCTCCAAACTGCCTATAAAGGTGGAGTTCTGTACCCAGTGGCAACAGTGACACGGTGTAACGGTGGTAACCTGTGTGGATTGTCCTTGGTACAGCATAGGGACAGCGAAGGTGTTAGCCTAAGTCACAACTCCTTTGAAAAATCTAATGGTGGATCCTCCATCGCGGTAACACCGCTCCAGCTCCTTCAACCTGCATAAACATCCATGCAGGAAGTTTGTTCATGTATTCTCAAGGTCTCCCCTGGATGCACTTCATTGGGTTTCAACGTCACTATGTAGCGAACTTTCAGATCTTTGTAATTTAGATAGTGGAAGTTGAGCTACTCTTTATTAAATTCACTGCCCACTAGAGGGAGGAAAATCTAAAAAGTTTTGATTAGACCAGAACTGTATTATTCTCATTAAGAGAAAGGTTACTTCCCAGTTTGAGACTAGGCAGGATTAACTTGCATGAGGGTCATTTGGACCTGTGAATGTGGGAGGCAAGACTTCCAACGGTCAAAGCCTCACCCTGCTAGCTGGAAGGACGAGATGGGAGGAGGTTTTGTTTTTATGTTAACAAGTATAGTTGTAAGATGGTGCTTGTCAATTCAGATGACCCCCAAACCAAACACTGCATGCTATGGAAATGCTCTGCGTTGTCTTCTTTTCTCTTATGTGCCTGTATGTTGCTTGTTTAATCATGTTTCACTGTCTGCAATCCCTGCCCATATCTATATGACAGTACAGTTTCAATACCAGTACATGCATTTGAAATATGAAAAGAGACTGAGGTTTGTTTACTTATTTTTCTGCTCTGTATTGCCTTTAAAGGGACTGTTAGGCCTTTTAGAAACATTTCCATCATGTCTGACACTCAAGAAGCTACCAACCAACTCCTGGATATGAACCTTCATGAGAACGAGAAGTCTGTGCCCTTGATGGAAGGTGACTTCAGAAGTGAGCCTGAGCATCTCCAGGTCACTATTGGAGCCACTGTTCCTACTGGCTTTGAGCAAACAGCTGCAGATGAAGTGAGAGAGAAACTGAAGTCGTCATGCAGAATCAGCAAAGACCGGGGCAAGATATATTTTGACATTGCAGTGGAAAGTCTGGCTCAGGTTTGAACAAAACAGTATTTAAACTAGTCTTCTAACTTGGTTTGTAGACCCCCTTGGGATCCTTTGCTTTTTTTTTCTGCTCAAAGTATCTCTGGGTTTTCTTTTGTGTACTGATTTGTGAAATTGACTTTTTTTTTTGGTTTTTCGAGACAAGGTTTCTCTGTGGCTTTGGGACTTTTTTTTTTTTAGTGTACAATGCTAATGTTTATGATGTCTTTATAATGTGTATTTCAGTTTAGTACATTTTAGCATGAGTTTACTATGGTTTAGAAGTGATCATAGCAGGCCTGACAGTTGGTGGCACATGCCTTTAATCCCAGTACTCAGGAGGCAGAGGTAGGTGAATTTGAGTCAAGCCTGGTCTACAGAGCAAGGGCCGGGACAGGCTCCAAAGCTACACAGAGAAACCCTCCCTTGAAAAACCAACAATAAATAAACACATAAATAAATAAATGAATAACAAAAATTAGCAGAAGTTAAATCAAATATTCCGTTTCATCTGTGTCAGAGACATTTTTGATCAGAAGTAATTATGCATGACTGCAGGTGAGAAGTAGGGGTTAGCAAACTGACATCCGTTAGAACAAAAGCTGCAAGACGTCTCATTACCACACATGTGCCATAGGACATAGATTATTGTCTGGAGGTTTCTTTTTAGGTTTTTGTTTTTATCTTGTCAGTTTATCCCAAGCTTATAGTAGGCACCCACAAAATATTTTTGGTAAACAAGTTTGTTGGTAAACAAGTATTTTGTTGATGCCCTCAGCAATTTTGTTAAGATTGGGCACTATTACTCTTGTCATTAGTCGTTAGGTTCAAAAAGAAAAGTAGTTTGTCTTCAGTAACTCAGCCATCACAAAGTTAGAGCTTAAACCCCATGTGGGTTTTGGGGTGGTAGGAGGTTGAAACAGAAACAGTCTAATGTAACCAAGGTTAGCCTACATTTCTTTACATAGCTGAAGGTGACTTTGAACTCTTGTTCTCCCTTGCTGTACCTCCAGAATACTGGGATTGAAGGCATGCACTTGTATACCCAGCTCTCAAATCTCATGCTCTTTGCCGTTGAAGTACACAACATACCACTGCAACCCATGAAAGAAGTATGATAAAGCCCACTTGTGTTTACATTTTTCCCTTCTCCAAACCAGTATTGTTGCCCACATCTCAAACCATTGTACTTTTATCTCATTGGCCCTTTCTCTGGAAAAAAAAAAAGGGCAGGAACTGATGATCAACCAAAGAATGGAACACTCAGGACCAGAAAATTTTATGTTTATATTTTTCCCTTCTCCAAACCAATGGGAAAAGTTTTAAATATAAAAGATAGGTGTGAGCTGAGTAGTAGTGGCTCATGCCTTTAATCCCAACACTCAAGAGGCAAAGGCAGGCAGATTTCTGAGTTCAAGGCCAGACTGGTCTACAGAGTGAGTTCCTGGAAAACCAGGGCTACACAGAAAAACCCTGTCTCGAAAAACAACAACTAAGGTACAGATATGAGGTGCTTTAAAACTATGCTTGTAAATTCCAGTCCTGGGAAGACTGAGTTAGGGGAATTGTGAGCCAGAGCAACATAGTAAGACTCTTATCTCAAAACAAAAATGACACATTTTTTGTACTTTTTTCATTTTTTTAAATATTTAACTGTAGATAGCTATGGTATGCAAAAATATTTTTAGAAGTTTGTTTCTAACATCTGTTTTCCTCCCTAGGTTCATTGTCTAAGATCAGTTGATAACTTGTTTGTGGTTGTTCAGGAGTTTAAAGATTACCAGTTCAAAAATACAAAGGTGAGCTATTCCAAGCATGGTAGTTGATTCTCAGCCATCTTTCTCAAAGAGATTGTTTTTTTTTTTTTACTATTTACTACCTGTCTGTCAGTCACTTTGCTATGGGTTTGTATACAATGTTAAGAATAAAGCAAGAGCCCTGTAGGTACCAAATATGTGACCACAAGCTTTTTCATTAAAATGCAGAAATCTCTTGACAGTCCATCCCAAAAGCTGCTTTTAAAGGTCAATGTTTTAAAAAAAGCCCTGAAGTTGCTGGGCAGTGGTGGCACATGCCTTAAATCCCAGCACTGGGGAGGCAGAGGCAGGAGGATTTCTGTGAGTTTGAGGCCAGCCTGGTTTACAAAGAGAGTTCCAGGACAGTTTCCAAACCTCCAGAGAAACCCTGTCTCGAAAAACCAAAAAACCAACCAAACAAACAAACAAAACACCCAAAACAACAACAACAAAAAACCCTGAAGTTTATAGAAGGAAAAATTGACTGGAGAGTCTTAGGATTAGCTTGACCTATGGTACATATGGTTTGAAACTAGAATTTCTTCCAGCACATGAAAGAAAGAAGACACAGTAGCATTCCCTCTCCATTTTGCTTTTGTCCTGTTTTAGCTTCATGTTTTGAAGTGAAGCCAAAGCAACATTTAATACCCCTTCAGTTATTAGGACGACAGCTTTGTGTCCAGCCTGTATTTACCATCTGAGTCCTAAATATTCAGCTGCTGTTTAATGTGAAGGTTGGAAATAGGCCTCAGTAACACTTCAGGGTTTTTCCTACATCTCTTTCTGGCCAGGTTTCCAGAATCAAGTGCTTAAAACATTTTCTGTCAATGTTGTGTTAATGTCTGACTTAGAGATAATCTTTCTTAAAAGAACTGGTATGCTGTCTAATTCTCTGGTCTTTATTAATTTTCCAGATTATTTTGGATAGCCAAAGTATTCCAAAATCAGTCAAACTGATCTGGGGGGAGAAAGGGTGCTTAGAAAGCACTTTCCTTGTTAGATCTTAGTAAAAAATTTAAACCACAACAAAAAGGCTAATGGAACCCATAGCCCACAAAAAAAATTCAAACAGCTCTAAAGGCATATCCATTGAAAATAGCTAAAAATAGCCGGGCGTTGGTGGCGCACGCCTTTAATCCCAGCACTCGGGAGGCAGAGGCAGGCGGATCTCTGTGAGTTCGAGGCCAGCCTGGTCTACAGAGTGATTTCCAGGACAAACTCCAAAGCTACAGAGAAACCCTGTCTCCAAAAACCAAACCCAAACAAAAAATTCTCTTGCCTTTAAATTACCAGGGCATTATTAAATTTATTAAATTCTTGGATTTTTGTCATCTTAACATTTGTATAGTTGAGGCAATTCTGATCTTTAATTGGAGGTGAATTTGGTTGTTGTGTTATGAATCTACATGAGCTAACCTCTCAAAGTTGCTTTGGAAATCACTCACAAAAGGTTCTTGAAGGCAAAGGAGATCACTGTTGGTAAGGTTTCCTACTGCACAAGCACAAGGACCCAAGTTCAGTCCCTAGCACCTGCATAAAAGCCAAGCATGGCAGTGTGTAGGAAAGACAAGTGGAACGTCGAGTTCTAACCAGCCAACCTAGCTGGGCTTCAGTGAGATGTCCTGTCTGTCTGTCTGTCTGCCTGCCTGCCTTCCTGCCTGCCTGCCCGCCTGCCTGTCTGGTTTTTTTTTTTTTGTTTGTTTGTTTGTTTGTTTTCGGTTTTTGGTTTTTTTTTGAGACAAGGTTTCTCTGTATTGTTTTGGAGGCTGTCCTGGAACTTGATCTGTAGACCAGGCTGGCCTCGAACTCACAGAGATCGGCCTGCTTCTGTCTCCTGAGTGCTGGGATTAAAGGTGTGCACCACCAATGCCCAGCCTGTTTGATTTTTTTTAAGACAAGATTTCTCTGTGTAGCGTTGGCTGTCCTGGAACTCCCTCTGTAGACCAAGATGGCCTTGAACTCAGAGATCTAGGTTTAAAAATGTGACTACCACACCTGGCTCTTGTGTTATGCTTTTAAATAGATTAGAACTTTTAGCAGTATAAATTACAACTTGGTATTATCTATCTAATCTATTTTTGTCTATTTTTTTAATTTTGTCTTTTTTTTATATCCCTGCTATGATTGCAGATGAAATTGTCATGTTTTTCCCCATTTCCACTTCATTCTGATTTTTATTGTTTAACTTCCTTAGTGTTGTACCTGTTAATATACTCTGTCTGCTTGTACTTCTGTCCTTTGACCTGTAAGTATAAGAGATGAGGGTTGCAGCATTCTTAAATTACTTCTCTTTCCTATTGTGTGCTGTTGTGTAACTTGCTTCTGTTTTATAGTCACAATCCACACTTTATTTTTATTTTAGTCTTAAAGTCAAATGTATAAAGGTGTGCTTCTTGTCCTTCACTGTTTGCGTGGTTTGTTTTGAAGATGAAGTTTTGCTCTGTAGCCCAGGCTAGGCTTGCATTTGAAGAGATTCTCCTGTGACTGTTAGCATGAGCCTGTATTCATGGCTATTTCTTTGTTTTAGTTTTTGTATTTTTGGTTTGTTTTTTATTGTTGTTGTAAGCCACCAGCGCCCGTCTCTGTTATTTTTAATGACCCGTGTTGATGGATGTTTATCTGTATATGTTCTGTTAGCTGGAGTATAAAGAACTAGTCTTCCCTCTTAGAAAGAGCATCGGAATCAATATCATTTTTTTCTAGCAAATAATGTTGTGAAGAGTCTTGAGTTCATCTTGATAAATATTTCTCCCTTATTGTTGCTTTCTGTGTGATGACCAAAAAACAAGGGAAAAACCCAGATTTCTTTGTAGTCTTTTTAAGTTTGAGTATCTCTTATTGTTGGTAGTTTCTTGTTAGGACATGCCAGTCCACTTTAACTTTCTGGAAAATATCTTAAATTATTGTAAATTTTAGATCTCTTAGATAAATAAGTATGTGTTAATTATTTTCCTTTTTTATCATTTTCTCTTCAATTCTTTTTAACTCTATTTGCTTTTCTTTTCTCCACATCCTTTACTGTTTTTCAGTAAGATTTTATAGATACTGGTTTCAGTGTGGTCTTTACTGGTATTTATGTATACATGAGCACTCTTATTTCTACCTTATTCTCATTTTATTCTTTTATGTATATGGGTGTTTTGTCTGCATGTATGTATGTGCACCACATACATGTGCCTGGTGCACAGAGGTCAAAACAGGGGACTGGATTCCCTAGAACTGAAGCTGTGAATAAGGTGAACTCCCAGTAGGTGATGGAATCTAAACTGAAGTCCTCGACAGGTACAACAAGTGATCTTCCCACTGAGTCAACTCAAAGCTCCTCCACCTTGATTTGTGTTTGGTTTGTTTTTCATTTTTTTCTGGAGATAAGGTTTTCCTTGTAGATTTGGAGCCTGTCCTAGAACTTACTCTGTAGATTAGGCTGGCATCATACTCAGGGAGATCCACCTGCCTCTGCCTCAGGAGTGCTGGAATTAAAGGCATCTGCCACCACTGCCTGGTCAACCATATTTTTTGAGATAGGGTCTCTTGGTGAACCTAGAACTCATTTTTACCTAGGCTGGCTAGTGAGAAAACCTCAGGGATTTTCCTCTCTCCCCTACCCCAGCACTGGGATTGTGAGCACACACACCATGCCTGCTTTTTACAAAAGTGTTGAGGAATTGCTCAGGTCCTCATGCTTGTGCAGCAGTGACTTTAGCAACTGCATCATGTGCCTAACTCCCTGATTTAACTTTTATTTATTTTTTTATTTTACATTTTCTTTAAACTCTGTTCAGACTCCTTCATCTCCTGATGACTCACCTCATTTCTACTTTGAATCTGCTTATTTTTGATGTCATTGTCTTTTCTGTTTTGTCTTTAAATCATATATTTTTTGTTGTGCCTAAGTTGCTAAGATCCCCAGAGACCACCAGGAAGACAGACCCATCAAACTGCAAAAGCAAGGTTTTATTGATTGTTCATCCAACCATGACAGGGACCCCATCTGGCTAGCTGTTGCAGCAGCCTCCAGAGGGAGTGAAGTTCCCTGTCTACTGCCAGGTTTTAAAGACAAAAGTTACAGGATTACATAAGTGGGTACGGGTTGGTTTCTGATTGGTTGACATTTGAGAACAAATTAGGAGAATTTCTCAAAGTCCTATTTTGGCATGAAATACCTGTGTACCAATTATTCTCAGTGGTCAGTGCTGAGAGGGAACATTCTATGGTTTCTATGGCATTGTCTTGTTACTTGCAGGTGACCTGTTATACATAGATACCAGTAGTTTTCAGAACTATATCCTGGAGACTACAGGGGAGGTTTTGGTCCCCCCTGGAGTTTCTTTTGTGGCCAAACAGTGCCCAGGAATCAAGTATCTTGGAGGCTGGGGAGAGGGTCTGGAGTTTTTTTGTGTTCAGTTTTGGCCGTAGACTCTGGGAGGCCAGAGGATCTGGAGTTTTCCTTGTGTCAGGCCCTACGTGTCTTTTCTGTATCCTGTCATGGCTGCTAAAGTGGGGCTGAGTGAGGGTTTGGTCCCTTTATTTCTAAATTATTAAAAGTGAAGCCTTTGAGTGTAGTTTACCCCTTTCATTTTTTAAAGATTTATTTATTGATTATGTATACAGTGTTCTGCCAGCATGCCATTATAGACAGTCATAAGTCACCATGTGGTTGCTGGTAATTGAACTTGGGACCCTTGGAAGAGCAGCAGTGATCCTAACCCCTGAGCTATCTCTCCTGGCTGTATACAAATGCATTCTTTTTTTTTTTTTTTTTTTTTATTTGGTTTGGTTTTTTGAGACAGGGTTTCTCTGTAGCTTTGGAGCCTGTCCTGAAACTTACTCAGTAGACCAAGCTAGCCTCAAACTCATAGAGATCCACCTCCCGAGTAAATCGTATGTCGTAAATCTGTTCTGTGGTGGCTTTTTTTCCTTCTATTTCTTTCCTTTCCTGCTTCTGTTTGTTTCCCCTTCATCCTTTTGTTTACTTAATAAGTTTTGAACTTAAATTTGAATGAGGCAGTTTCTCTTGGGCCTGCCCTTTTTAAGAGGGTCTTGAGGGTGGGACCGAGGGCTTTCTAGACCAAGAAGAGGCTTCCCTGGACTGACTGGAGATGAACAAGTGTTTTCATCCTTTTTTTTTTATTGTTTTATTGAAGTATAAATTTTATTCCACTGAATTGTTTTAATCTTTACTTCCTCTCTGGCCTCATGGGAACAGAGGCTTTAGAGTTCATCAAGCAAAGCACACTTAACTCTTAACAACTGTAGACAAACAATATTTGAAAAAAGTGTATTGATGTGGCATGCTAACTGCTAGGTTGGAGTATAAAATGTGGCTGAAGTGACTGAGTAATTTCATTTTCTAAAGATTTTGTTTAGTTTTTAGACCAGGCTGGCCTCAAGCTCACAGAGATCCATCTGTCTCTGCCTGGGATTAAAGTTGTATACCCCCACACCGGGCTTCTGGAGCTTTTAGTCATTTAAACATCTATACTGTGGCTGTTTATATAGATTCTGTAGCTCTGTCTGACTAGTGCTTGCTCTATTGGACAGCAGCTTCCTGTACTTCACATTTAAATATCATCAGTAAGTGCTTCTTTGGTCTTTATTCCTGTAGTACTAGCAGCTGAATTTAGGACCCCATACACTGTACCACTGAGTTAGATCCCTTGGCCCTCTTACTTTTTATTTTGAGATAGGTTGTTAATAAATTATCTAGGTTGGCCTTTAACACACTCTGTAGCTCAGTAAAGCCTGAACTTGCAACTTTGCCATAGCTAGGATTACAACCCTGTGCCAGTAGACCCACCCTGGGCAGCTGTAGATTAACCACTCTTTTTATGCCTCTGCGGTTGTAGGTGTGTGGCCTGTAACTAAGGTCAAGGTAGTTTGGGTCTTTCCACCATGCATTTACAGGTGTGGCCTGGCTAGTAAACAGTACATAAACCTAGTAACCATAGATCATGCTTGGTACTGTAGGCAAACTGAAGAGCAGAACTCAGCAGGGCAGGCACCACAGAATTTACTTTTTAAAAAAGATAATCATATGAACCAGGTGTGGTGGCGCTCACCTTTAATCCAAGCACTTAGGAGGGCAGGTGGATCTCTGTGAGTTTTAGGCCAGTCTGGACAACAGAGCCAATTCCAGGACAGCCAGGGCTATAGAGAACAGGTCCTGTCTCAAAATACAAAACAAAAGATAATCACTATTTAAAATCTGGACAGATGATATTTTTAAACCTCAACAATTTTGTCCAAATTCAGAGTATCTGAAAGGAAGTCATCTAGACTGGTTGCCTTCTTCCTCTGCTACCATCCGTCCCCTGCTTCCCCTCACAGGCATTCCTCAGTGCTGTATGTCTGATTTGCCTTCTGCTCTATTATTTACAGTGGTGCAATGTTTGTATTCCCTCACTTATCATTCACACTGGGATTATTTGCTTCTGCACTCCCACACTTTTGTGGGGACCAGAACTGTCCATAAAGAAAGTAGGCATTTATTTTTTCAGTTATAATAGTGAGAAATGAAGGGTTTCATTCTCCATCCTTTGCAGGAAGAAGTTCTAAAGGACTTTGAAGAATTGGCTGGAAAGTTGCCATGGTCTGACCCTTTAAAAGTCTGGCAAATTAACACCAGTTTTAAGAAGAAGAAAGCAAAGCGCAAAAAAGCAAATCAGAGTGCAGGTAAAGAGAAGGACGACTGTGGACAAGGAGACAAAGCAGAAGAGAAAGGCAGTAAAAGGGTGCTTGGCAGCAGCACTTTAGAATCACATATCCTGGACTATTATGAAAATCCAGCCATCAAAGAAGAAGTCTCAACCTTAGTGGGTGATGTCTTGGCATCTTGCAAAGATGAGACTGGTGAAAGCTTAAGAGAAGAAACTGAACCACAAGTACAGAAGTTTAGAGTCACCTGCAATAGAGCAGGAGAGAAACATTGCTTTACCTCAAATGAGGCTGCAAGGGATTTTGGGGGTTCTGTTCAAGAGTATTTTAAGTGGAAGGCTGATATGACCAACTTTGATGTAGAGGTGGGTATTAGCTTTGATTGATGATTAATGACTGGGATGGGCCTGGGAAGATGGTTCAGTGGGTGAAGTGCTTTCTGAACAAGCATGAGAATCTGAGTTCGGATCCCTAGCACCCACACAAAAGCTGGAAACAGATGTGTTTGCATGTTGACCGTACCACTGTTAGGTAGAGACAGGCAGTACCCTGGAGCTTGTTGGGCTTTCCAGCGGAAACAATGAGAGCCAAGTTCAGTGAAAGACCCTGCCTCAAAAATAAGGTAGAATAGTAGAAAGACATTCGGTGTAAACTGGCTTCCTCATACTCACACACAAAAGAGAAAAAGGTTCTCATACATTTGTAGAATTTCCAGACTAACCTAGCAAAGGTGCAGTAAAACAATCGCCATAAAGCTAGGAGGATGTAGTTAGGAATAACATGGCCTATGGAGATAGATGGATAGGTATAGATTGACATTGTTTACTCTGAAACTCTGTAGAAATGGACAAGACTATCTCTTTGAGCCTCTGTTTCAAATGGAGCCAATAATATTATATGCCTTGAAGGTCTATACATTGTAAGGGAAATGAAATAATGGTTCAAAGTATTTGGATAGTATGTTGGTATATGCTAAATGCTCACTGGGTAGATGCTGCCAGAACTCAGGTAATGGTGGCATGCTCCCTTAATCCTAGCACTCAGGAGGCAGAGGATCTTTCATGAGTTTGAGGCAAGCCAGGCCTACACAGTGAGTTCTAGGACAACTAGGATTATGTAGAGAGCCTCTCTTGAGAAACCCTCAGTGTGCTTTGTCTCTCTGTCTCTGAACTTGGCATAGCCATGTCCAGCAGTAGATGAGTTCCTTTTTTAAATTACGATGCTGAACTCAGACCCAGGACCTTGTATATAGTAGACTCTGCTTCTAAGCTGTATCTGCCCAGTCCTCTAATTTCTAATCTAGTGTTTTTCTACATTATGAGGACTTCTAGGTTGTAAATTTACCTAAAAGAAACTTACTAAATCTTAGTTGCAGAGTTCTGAACCATAGTGAAATCTAATTTTCAGACCCTCAAGTCTGGGTTTTAGGGCTCATCTTAGTCTAGAACCAGCTCTGCTCATTTTTAAAGATGGCTGGGTTCTTAAAACCAAATGTCTCTTGTCAGTTTGATTAATTATCCTTTGACTACTGGGTGACTAATGTGAATAATAGTGATTAGAGTTCCTTAAATTTCTTGTGACTTATATAGGTCCCTAGCAGTTGACATTTTTACCAAGAAGTAAATTTCTCTTGCTTTTGGGATACTTACATCTGGGGCATATCATTTTCTTTGTAACTTTTCTTTTAAAAAAATGTCAGACTTATCCAATTCCTCATATTCCCTTATACAGCTGCCATGAGAATGAACAGGCTAAAGAACAGTCATGTTCAGAAATTAGCAAGGTGACACAGAGGACAAATCATGGAGTCACACTGCCTTGTTACATTGCAGCTCAGGCACTTGTGTGAAGGACATATGATCTGATGTCTCTTGTGTCCTAGGTCAGAGTGGTTTATAGAAAATGAAGCCATGCGAGTAAGATGTAGAGTATGGCCGTGTTTGCTGGAGTGTCAGCTCCTCACTGCTGCCTTTGGTAATGCCATGATGAGTCCATTCTAAGGCGAAGACTGGGGACACTTTATCTTCTTAGTGTATTTCTGAACTAGGAGTACTAAGAAAACAGTAGTTGATAAAGCAAATATGACACAGTGTCAACTCTGAGTAAAGGTATGTTTGAGAGTCTGCTGCGAAAGTGGGCTTGTTTTAAGTATTTCCCCCCAAAATGTAGTAATTTAAAAAATATATGTAGTCCAAGTATGTTGGCACATGCCTTTGACTCAGGAGGCAGAGATGGGCAGATCTGGCCTGGTCTATAATAGTGAGTTCCAGGCCAGCTAGAGTGCACAGTGAAATCCTGTCTGATTTTGTTGTTGTTCTTGTTGTTTTGGCTTTTTGAGACATGGTTTCTCTTTGTAACACTGGCAGTCCTAGAACTCATTCTGTAAACAAGACTGACCTCAAATTCAGAGATGACCTGCCTCTTCCTACAGAGTTCCGGGATTAAAGGTGTGTGCCACCACTGCCTTGTGTTAAACAGCAATAAAACACACAGGCACTCATACACTCATATTTTAAAGCCATGCTATCAAAATATGGTAATATAATAAAAACTGGGAGATAATCTAGTGATACCCAGCTTGTATATATAGTGAGTGAAAAGAATAAAATTTTTAAAAATTAAATGAAAATAGTTCATATACAAATATATACACATATTTCATTTCTGTGAAGTTCAAAAATGATGTAACTAATTTATAATAGTAGTGGACAGATTAATGATCACTCTGTATATTGACCAGGAAGGAAACAAAGAGAGTCTTCTTTTTTTTTTTTTTTGGTTTTATGAGACAGGGTTTCTCTGTTTTGGAGGCTGTCGGTCCAGCCTGGCCTCGAACTCACAGAGATCCGCCTGCCTCTGCCTCCCGAGTGCTGGGGTTAAAGGCGTGCGCCACCAACGCCCGGCCAAAGGGAGTCTTCTAAAGGGTACTGTATGTAGGTCAAAGCTTACTGAAATATATATGTAGTTAAGGTTTACATACCTCTGGGCTCATGAAATGGCTCAGTGGCTAGACAGACTTGCCACCAAGGCTGCTGACCTTAGTTCAATTCCTAGGACACATGGTGGAAGTTGTCCTCTGATTTCCACACCCAGGCCACACACACACACACACACACACACACACACACACACACACACACACACACACGAATTAATGAATTTTATGTACTTTACTGTGTAGTAAGCATGAAAAGTATAACTCAGAAAGTGTGTGTGGGCTGGAGAGATGGCTCAGTAGTTAAAAGAACTGACTGTTCTTTCAGAGGGTACAGGTTTAATCCCAGCACCTACATGGCAGGCAGCTCACAACTGTCTGTAACTCCAGTTCTCGAGGATCTAACATCCTTTTCTGGTCTCCATGGATACCAACTGTGCATGTGGTGCACAGATACATATTCAGGGAAAAAATAATTTTTAAAAAGAAAGTTTTTGTGCATCATGGTTATGTGTGTACAAGTCATGGGTGCTGGAGATCCAAACTCAGGTCTTCATACTTGTGAGTACTCTCTCCACTGAGTCATCTTCCCAGCCCTGGATAAGAAAGTTGTTTTGTTTTTGTTTATCTTAAGAATTCAAAAAGTCTTAATGAGGCAGACATGTCTCCTACTTGTGATCCTAGCATTTATGAGGCAGAGGCAGGAGGATTTTGAGTTTCAGTCCAGCTGTCTACATAAGAAATTCAAGCCAATCTTGAGTCTGAAGCCCTGTTTTATTTTATTCTTTTAAAATTATTTATTTATTTATTTACTTATTTATTTATTTTGAGACAGGGTCTCCTTATCTGATAGTCCTGGCTATCCTGGAACTCACTATGTAGCCCAGGCTGGCCTTGAGCTCACAGAGATCCACCTGCCCAGCACTTGGGAGGGCAGGCCCACACCTAGCTAAGGCACTGCTTTTTGGGGGGCGCATTTAAAGACCGGGTCTCTGTATAGTCCTGGCTGTCCAGGAACTCACTATGTAGACCAGCCTGGCCTCAAAAAAGGTCTTGGTAATAAGTGCAGTTTGAATAACACCAACTTTCTTTTGTCTGATTTGATGCAGGTTCTCTTGAACATTCATGATAATGAAGTTATTGTTGGCATTGCATTGACAGAGGAGAGTCTCCATCGCAGAAATATTACACATTTTGGACCTACAACTCTTAGATCAACTCTTGCCTATGGGATGCTCAGGTAACAGAAGGGGATTTTCTGTCTATATTGCAATGGACACTTTTTTCTGAATCTTGCCTTAAAACACTCATTTTCTTAAAAAAATTTTGTGGTTCCAATTACGAAGTTACCTATTTCTTCTTCAGTATTCACTGTTTGGGCTTAGATGATGTATTAGTATTCTTGATTATAAAGTGAGAGTAGTAGTGTCATGCATACCTTCAGTGGATTGGCTGTTGCTATTGAGAAAGGATATCTTTTGTTAGGAGACAGAGCTAGATTTGCTGGACTTTGTTTTTATACAGTGAAGCAGACAATGTGTAAGTGAATGGAGAACCTGTACATTGAGTGAAGGTGTTGCTATGCAGCACAGGCTAGCTAGCCTTGGTATCCTGAGTGCTGGGATAATAGTACACACTACCATATCCCACTTACTCATATTTTTAAATGTTACACTAGCAGCAGTCCAGGGATCATCTTGGGACTTTCAGAAGTACAAAGCCAACAACCCTTTGCTGTTGTCATTTTTGTTATTAGTGTCTCCTTTCTAGTTGTGTAGTGTCCATATAAATACAAAAGAAAAAGAAGAAAAGACTTATTCATTCATGCTGGAGAGATGACTCAGAGGTTTAAGAGTGCATGTTGCAGAGGACCTGAGTTTGGTTCCCAGCACTCAGGCTGTCAAATAGAGAATAATGACCTGCAACTCCACCTCCACCGGACTCAAGCTTTTGTTTTCTGCCGGCGTCAGCATTTACATGCACATACCTATCCACACATGCACACACACATACTTTAAAAACAGTGGTAGCTGACTTTGGGTTGTAGAGATGATTCAACAGGTACTAGTTCTTGCTGTTCTCCCAGAGGACCAGATTTCAATCCCCAGCACCCATGCCTGGCAGCTTACAACTGTCTTTAGTTCCCGCTCCATAATCTCTTCCAATACTCTGTTCTGGCCCCCATGGGCACTGTGCAGATGTGCATACACATGTGCACATGTACAGAGAGACAAAAATACATACACATTAGTAAAAGATAAAGTTATTTTGTTAAAAATTTGTTCATGAAAACGGAATGCAGAAACATAGACAGATTGTCTTATTCTATACAGTGCCTGGCATGTCCTAATGAGTTCTATAAGTACATTTTCTTTCTAGTCCTTGTTTCCTCTTTTATCCTGTTCATGTGTGGATTCATAGTTCCTCACAACTGGAGCATATGAAGTTGATAACAGAAAAGTTAAATTAGAAACACTCCTAAACTTCATTCATTGAACAGACATTGATTATCTGCCTCCAACTGTGATTATAGAAGCCAGCGTACAAAGAGTTATTTTGAGTGCAAGTATTAAAAAGCTAAATAGAATAAAAAAGTGATGACTGAGCTAAGGAAGTACTCAGTACAGTTTCTGCGTAAGCATAAGGTTTGACTTACCAGCAGCATATGTGTCTCTAATTCCAGTACTAAGGAGGCAGAGACAAGAGAATCCCTGAGGCTTTCTGGCCAGCCAGTCTAACTGAATTTGTGAGCTCCAGGTTGTGAGGGACCCTTTCTTAAAAACTGAAGTGAAGAGCAATTGAGAAAGATGCCCAGATAGGCATGGTGGCACACACCTTTAATCTCAGCATTTGGGAGGTAGAGGCAGACAGGTCTCTATCAATTCAAAGCCAGCCTGGTCTACATAGTAAATTCCAGGATGGATGGACAGACGGGCGGACACAGACAGACAGACAGACACACACACACACACACACACACACGAGAGATGCCCACTGACTTTCACATGCATATAGGCAAACATAAGTGTGTACTCACATGCACATTTACACACAGAGTAAGAATTATGCTGAGGATGGGGTGATTGGAGAGATGAGCAAAAATTATACCAAACCCACAAAAACTAAAAAAACTTTGAAAGCCATCTCAGGAGAGGTAGAAACTATGGGACTGGAAAGATGACACAGTGCTGTAAGAGCACGCACTGCTCTTCCAGAGGTCTTAGGTTCAATTCCTAGCACCAATGGGTGGCTCACAATTGTTTATAACTCCAATCTCAAGGGATCTGATACCTCTTCTGGCTTCAACCAGGCACTGCTCATTTGTGATGCAGATATGCATGCAAGCAATGCATCCATAAACATAAAAATTAAGAAGTGTAGAAACGAAATAGTAGAAACCTCAGGAAATTGCTTTTCTGTCTCTTGAAAGCGTATGTGCTTTTGCTCAGCTCACCTGTGTACACGGCTGCCTGCCATTTAAATATGTGTACCTCCAGTTGCACACGGCTGCCTGCCATTTAAATATGTGTACCTCCAGTTGCACACGGCTGACTAGCCCACACAACCTAGGGCTTCTTGCTCTTATTCCAAATTAGAGGATTTGAGTGACATATTTTGATCAAATGCCCAGTCCAGGCCCATTAGCAATGACTGACATTACAGGTTGCCTAAGAATCTGTTTTATGAGAGAGATAGTTAGCATGCATGGTGCAAGGTCTCAAACAGAACATGAAAAGGTTAGAACGGACAAAGCTTAGTGACCTAAGGATTGGCACTACACTACACTAGGAAAAATGTTTCTTTGCATGTTATCTGTTAAATGGTAATGGGGTTTTGGAAGGATTCAGTGAAATAAGTATAATGTTAAGGCAGTTATTTTATGTTAAAGATGTTATCTCTACAGTTAAGCACAAAATGAAAGAATACTCTGAATGTCTGGTTGTCAGCAAATGTCCACTAAAAAAAATCTTCCCATTTCAGCTTCCTGAGTTCTGGGATAACAATTCTTTTTCTTTTTCTTTCTTTCTTTTTTTTTTTTCTTTTCCAGCTTTGAGTCTGAAATCCAAAGCCTTGTATACATAGGTGAGCACTACTATTAAGTGACAGCCCAGACTGACTTTCAGACTGTAGATTGCTGCTCCTTCATACCTATGTCCTAACCTTTAGGAATCTCTATTGTGGAAGCCTCAGCTTTTAACTGATCTCACATGTGCTGATTTGTTTTCTCTCTCCAGGCTCTGTGAACCTAAACCTACTGATGTAATAGTGGATCCAATGTGTGGAACAGGGGCAATACCAATAGAGGTAATAACACCTATTTATTTTTACATAAGCAAGTAATATATCATCTATTTCAAACAGCCAAATGCCATACAAGTAGATAGTGACATTTGTTTTCTGGATCCCAGAGAAGCTGAAAATCATAAACCCTTTTCTGCGATAGATGGATGAGCCACTAGATTGAATAGCAGAGGATAACTGAAGGTATCATAAACTGGAGGAAGTTAGTTTTCGTCTCCATATAATTAGAGGTTCCTGAAGCTAACAAGTTCAATTATGGAAAGGAGAAACCACAGTGGTGTAGCTCGGTGCTGGGGTACTTGCCTGGCATGCCAGAGGTCCTGGACCTGATTTCCTGCACTGCAAAACAAAACTAGAAGCAAATCCACCACCTATGAGCATCCTTTATACTTGTTTGTTTTGAGACAGGGTCTTACTATGTAGCCCTGGTTGGCATTGAACTCACAGAGATTTGCCTATCTTTTTCTAGGATTAAGGTCACAAACTACCACACTCAGTCTTTTTACCTGTTTTCTTGTTTGTTTGTTTTTTACATGGAAAAGAAGTTTTATTGGGGGAAGAGAGAGACAGAGATCTGTCTGCCTCAGAGAAATGACAGAAAAAGTTTTCTTTTTTAAAAAATTTCTTTACATGATTTAGGAAATCTAACAGTGACCTTAAGTAATTTTCAGAATTACTACCTCATTCACAAAAATTAAAGAATTTTTATGATCCTAGCACTTGGGAGGCAGAAGCAGGTAGATCTCTGAGTTAGAGGCTAGCCCTTGTCTACAGAGTGAGTTCTAGGCCAGTCATAGATATACAGAGAAAACCTGTCTCAATAGACCAAACAAAACAAAAACTACAGAAGGCAAAACAAGAATTGGAAAGATTTTTTAAATTTTATTTTATTTTTTAGCCTTTTGAGGCAGGGTCTTGGTATGTAGCACAGGCTGGCCCTAAATTCATGGAAGTCCTCCTGCCTCAGCCTCTTCCAAATATTGGTATCACAGACATGAGCCACCACACAGTGGAAAAGGGATCTTGTAGGTAGAGAACTGTTGAGATTGAGTGAATTACATCACCTATGTGTCTGTAAGTGACTGATAGACAGGAGCTCACAGTAAAATCACTTAGTTTTGTGTGAAACATAGTGAAATATTCTAGACTATATCAAAAGCCAGTAAAAAGAAACTGCACAGAAGTACCACAGATTGTGTTGAGTGGGCAGAAATGGGACAGATGAGCAAGCCCAAAGCAACCCAAAAAGGGAAAAATAATCCAGAGTGTAATTAGAAAATCTATGGTCTGACTTTGATCAGGAGTTAAGATCCAAGAGGAAACCACATAGTCTGCATGTTCCACTAGTGTTGGCTGGGAATGACTACTGCTTGAGATCTGAACCAGAGAGCTTAGTTACAATCAAGAATTCTGGAAACAAAGCTGTAGTCTTCCAGCATTAAACCATGACTTTTCTATGAAATAACAGGTAAAGTTACCATGTGTCCAGAAACATGCAACAGAAATAGACACTCTGAGCCATTTCCATGTAAAAATAGGTGTGAGAGTACCATTGTAGAAACTTTAGCTGGGAAATGATGGGAATCGTGAAGAGTTACCAGGTATCTGTGAACATGTGTCCACTAAAGTATCAAACAGGTGTGAACACATGTGTCCATTAAAGTATCAAACATGTGGCCTGGAATGCTCTGCAATTTAGAAGTAATATGATATAAGGTAGGAAATCCAAATTGGATTACAAATTTAAAAGAAAAAAATGGTTGACAAAGATTGTTACCCATTGGAGCCACATCTCCAGTGGGTAAGAATCACCTGAGACTTTTTACTCTGTGGGTTCCTTTTGTATCCCTGCCCAGCCAGTTTCTGGCATATGGGAACATTCCTTTTGTTTGCAGTCATTGTAGAATAATAGCTAGAATATGTCAGCACCCTCAAGGGTCTGGACAAAATACAAAGTTATGCAGTACTGTATTCATGCATGTATGTCTTCGTGGCAAAAACTGTACCATTGTGTGTTGTGTCACCTCATTTCACAAGCATTTATATTCTGCTGACATTTTTTACTTAACTACAAAATCCTCTCAGAGATATATGATGGTAATCTTTTAAAAGTTAAACTCTCACAATTCAAGAGTATAGGTATGGTTAGTTTGGCTAGTGGTGGTGGGGTAGGTGTTTTGTTTTTCTGAGACAAGGTTTCTCTATATAACAGTCCTGGCTGTCCTGGCACTCGCTCTGTAGACCAAGCTGGCTTTGAAGTCACAGAGATCTGCCTGCCTCTACCTCCTGAATGTTGAGATTAAAGGCATGCACCACCAATGCCTGGCAGTTTGGTTAATTTTTTAAAATCATGTTTATTTAGGGAATATAGTCTCTCTTATGGGCTGATGTTGATATCACAGTGGATGACAGTGGATGACTTTGGAGCCATCTCCTGTGAGTGAAAATTCACCAGGCAGAAAAAGAACAGGGAGGTCATTTCTTTCTTTCTTTTTTTTTTTTTTTTTTTTTTTTTTGCTTTTTGAGACATGGTTTCTCTGTGGCTTTGGAGGCTGTCCTTGGAACTAGTTCTTGTAGACCAGGTTGGCCTTGAACTCCCTGAGATCCACCTGCCTCTGCTTCCCAAGTGCTGGGATTAAAGATGTGTACCACCACATCTGTTAAAGAAATAAATGGCACGGGGCGACATTATTGAAAATTGACCATATTGACTTCCCCTTTAATTGTAGCATATTTAACTAACATTCTTGTTTCATAGGGGGCTACTGAGTGGTCTCACTGTTACCATATTGCTGGGGACAACAACCCCTTGGCAGTGAACAGAGCAGCAAATAACATCTCATCTCTATTGACTAAGAGCCAGATTAAGGATGGGTAAGTTTAACTTCAAAGACTGCATTGCATTTTTGCAAGTCACTCTCCATACTGGCTTGGAATTATCGTCCATTGCCAGTGCTTTGCAGCATCTTTATAACTAAATGAACAGTGTGAAGAAGACACCATGTAGCTTACTGAAAATCATTCATATTTAAACTACAATTTCCATGCTTTATTGCAATTTTATTTCTCTTTTTTGTTCATTATTCATGTGTCCTTTCCCCAAACAGTATGATATAGTATAGGTTTATTTATTTTGAAAAGGTCATTTCCTATAACTGGGTCTTACCTTGAACTCACTGTATTGTGCAGCTGACCTCAGGCTCACAGTGATTTTCCTGCCTTCGCCTCTAAAGACGGGGATTGTAGACATGAGCTACCAAATGTTTACATTTGCAGTACATGGCTAGATTAATCTTAATTCACAAATTTGAAAATACTTTTAATATTTTTACTTACTTATATACAGTAATCCACACAGCAGCCTATCATACAGAACCACTACAGTTTATCTATTTAGCTTTTTTTCTAAAATAATGTGAGTTGAGCTAGGGTATGGTAACACACACCTTTAATCCCAGCACTTGGGAGGCAGAGGCGGATAGATTTGTGTGACTTCCGAGGCCTGCCTGGTGAGTTCCAGGGAAGCCAGGACTACAGAGAAAACCTGTCTAGAAAAACCAAAAAAGTAAAATAAAAATGTGAATTGAAAGAAGCATGAAAGCCATCCCCATAACTTTGAAATCACCAGTGATGTTGACTTGTGGCCCTGGCCTGTTGAAACCCTCTGATCACTTTTCCTCTGAAGCCTTTTGGATTAGTGTTTCTGTTATTTGTGTATGCGTGTGGGCCTGAGAGTGTCATGAAGCTGTGCTAGTGTAGGAGTCGGAGGAGGAGTTTCTTTTCCTCCTCCTGTGGGTCCAGGAATCAGACTTCCATTTGTCAGGCTTAGTGGCAGACACCTTTGCCAGCTGGGCCATTCCTCTGGCCTTTTAAACACTTTTTTACATGTAAACTCATTTCCCCTGGTGCTTTTTAAAATTGTGTAAAACCATACATTCTTTGGAAACCAATCTTTGTTTTTTTTTTTTTTTTGTTTTTTGTTTTGTTGTGTTTGTTTTTTGAGACAAGCTTTCTCTGTGTAACAGACCTGGTTGTCCTGAAACTCGCTCCATAGACCACCATGCTGGCCTTGAACTCACAGAGATCCCCCTGCCTCTGCCTCCCAAGTGCTGGGATCAAAGGCACGCGCCACCACTGCCCAGCTTGAAAACCAATCTCAACCATATAAAAAAACTTGTTTTTCAGTTATGGCAATATTTCTTCTTACATTTCTGTAACATTTCTTTTTAGAAAAATGATCTTTAAAAATTAATACTACAGAATGGTTTTGTTTTGTTTTACATTTATTTGTGTGTGAGCACAAGAGTGGGGGGGTTAGAGGTCAAACTGAAGGATTTAGTTCTCTTACTCCACCATGTGGGCCCCAGGAATCAAGCCCAGGTCGTCCGGCTTAATGGCAAGTGTCTTATCTGAGATGCCATCTCAATAGCCTGGGCGAGTATGTTGAAGTATCTTTTTGTTTCCATAGAAAAACATCCTGGGGGTTGCCCATTGATGCTGTTCAGTGGGATATCTGCAACCTCCCACTGAGAACTGCTTCTGTGGACATTATTGTAACAGATATGCCTTTTGGAAAAAGGTAAGAGTTTTTTTTTCTTTTTAAAATGGAGTTTGATTTCACCTATTAATGTTACTATTTTTTCATCAGTCAGAAAGATATACCATAATTCATTTCATTCATTGTGCCTCCTAGTCTGTACACTGAGAAGCACTGACTTCTTAGGCCAGATTTCTCTAGTCAGTGGTTTGACTCATGTATTTGCTTGTTGTCTTCATTAAGTTATAGTTGTAAAAAAAGAGAACAAAGTGTGCTTGGGAGGTAGAGGCAGGTGGATCTCTAGAGTTTGAGCACAGCCTGGTCTACAAAGTGAGTTCCAGGACAACCAGAGCTGTTCAACATAGAAACCTTGTCCCAAAAAACCAAAAAATGTTTAGATGGAAAACTCTGAACACTTGACTAACATAGCTTCCTTTATTGGCGTAGAATGTCAAAACTCTGGCCTCTAAAAGATGACCTCTTCATACATTGGATTTTGGTTTTGTCTCATGTAACAAACTATTTACCTTTTGCAACAGTTTATACTTGACCTTCTTTTATAGGATGGGCTCCAAGAAGAGAAACTGGAATTTATATCCAGCTTGCCTTCGGGAAATGAGCCGTGTCTGTAGACCAGGGACTGGCAGAGCTGTACTGCTTACTCAAGACAAGAAATGTTTTGCCAAGGTACTGAACATGAGTTAAAATCTCAGCTTAAGGCAACTTTAGGATTCTTAAAAGAAGGTAGTGCCGGGCAGACAAGTGGGGCCCCAGAGCTTTGCTGGCTAGCCATTGTAGCCATCCAGTGAGTTTCTGGGTTTAGTGAGACCCTTCCTTACTTTACACCCACACTCACCTGCCTGCATGTGTACCACATATATGCCTGCTGCCCTCAAAGGACAGAAGAGGGTATTGTATGGACCCCCTAGGATTGGAGCTATAAGATAGTTGTAGGCTGTCATGTGGGTGCCAAAAACAGAATTCAGATCCTCTGGGAAGACCAGCAAGTGCTCTTAATGTCTGAGCCAACTCTCCAATATACCATCTATTAACATTTCTTAAGTGGCAGAGATTCCAGGTTGGTTTAAAAGCAGAGTGGCAGCCTAATGACTTTTGCCTTTTGTGTGTACCAGGCATTATCTGGAATGGGACATGTGTGGCGTAAGGTTCATACAGTCTGGGTAAACATCGGAGGCCTTCATGCTGCAGTTTATCTTCTAAAACGCACGCCTCAAGTCTTTGTTCATCCTTCAGAACAAGAAGGAGGAAGACACCCTCCTTGGTAAAGCAAAGAATGAAAAGAACTATAGTATTTGTAGTTGCTAACCAACACTGGACATGCCAGCATGAAGAACTTGCTTTGGGAGAAAAATAGCAGAAAAGTAACTTAGTATTGCAGTCTACACTGCTGACTACTCCAGAACGCTTTATTGTTAGCAAGGTGACTGGTGGTATTTCTTCAGAAGCTTACATTGCTTGGCTTCTAGGTTTGAGAACATTGTAGGCCATGTTCTATCACTGTTCTGTAGCCTAAGTTCTTTCCATCACCCACAGAAACCAAAGCATCCCTTTAAGACCTATAGCTTACCATCTGCCTTAAAATAAATACACACCAAAACAGAGCAAAAATGCTTTGTGTGACCATTAGTAATAGGACATTACTAAGTGTAGAAGCGTCAGTAGATGAGGTATGGGACCAACAAGCCAAATTAAAGGAATTTTTTTCAGTATGTGTTACTTTTCAAAGCCCAATAAACAAATACTAAAAAAAAAAGTGCTGTCTTTGTGGGGAGCAAATACATTTTTAAAAGAAACCCTGACCTGGGAGGCCTGCTATTCTAGTCTAGCTCAGTCGTTCTCCAGCTGTACTGAATCCTTCCTCAGTACTATGGGAAATGAAATAACCTCAGTACTCATCAGTCCCTTAATAGTGCTTCCTAAAGAAAGCCCTGATCGAGCTTTGATGGAAGTTATTTTGTAGTCTGGCTTCATTCAGCTTAGATATTCAGTGATGTTTCTATTTAGAATAAAGGACACAGTACTTCCTTTCTTTGAAAACAGAATCCACATTGACAGTATAGTCAGTAGCCTGTTGGCTTCTTGTAACTACTCACTGGAAAATGAACTAGGATTAGGAAATTTGTAAAGGTTTTATATCCTAGATGGGCATTTTTGCAGTTGTCAAAATACATTAATGATTGAACATAAAATTTCCACTGTTGATAAAACCATTTGTTATCTCAAAGCTGGTCAGAACCAGGATGTACAAGGATAGTTGTCTGTTTTTAATCACAATTTACCAAGTCCTGACAGTGATTATTTGCTAGTGAGCATTTAATATATCCTGAACAAACTATTACTTTTTAATGCTAAGTTCTCAAGCTAATACACCAGGTTTTTGCTTGCTTCCTCACAGATTTAATTCTACTATGTATATGAAAAAAAAATCAGAGTTAAGACACTGAAAATAAAATGGGCACTATGTCATCTTCATTCATCTCTGGTTAGTAATTGTTAACCTGGTTAGTAGAATAAGAAATGAGCTATGAGCAGTTTCTTTTCTCCTCTAGATAAGGCTTTACCACATAGCCCTGGCTGGCCTCTGCCTCTCAGGTAAAAGTATTACTTTTAAATTGTGTTTGTGTGCAGGTAGGAGCAGGTGTCTATGGAGGCTAGAAGTTGGAGTTAACAGGCAGTCTGATCTGCCTAGTGTGGGTTGATGGGATCTGAACAAGTCCTCCACTACAGCTGTCTAGGCTCCACTGTTACCCTTTCTTTGCACAAGAGTGAAGTTCTTGCTAATCAGTTGTGAAGATGTAGCCATTTAAGATGCCGTTCAGTTTCAGCCCAAATTAACTTCCTGCCTGTCTTCTGTGACCCACTTAAAGTAATACACACCTTTCTCCAGTAAAACCTGCCAGTCCAGTGTACCCAATACCAGCCTTTTAGGCTTTTTAGGAGTCATTGTTTACCATGTACATCCTTCTAGAAAAGCCATTTCTCAAATTTTAAAAGCTAATTCTCACTTTTTTGTTTTGGTTTTCTGAGACAGGGTTTCTCTGTGACTTTGGAGGCTGCCCTGAAACTAGCAATTGTAGACCAGGCTGGTCTCCAGCTCACAGAGATCCGCCCGCCTGTCTCCCAAGTGCTCAATGCTGGGATTAAAGGCATGCGCCACCAAAGCCTGGCTCACACATTCTTAAAATTTTGAAACACAGTAGCATAGGATTGTGTGTGTGTGTGTGTGTGTGTGTGTGTGTGTGTGGTGGACAGCTGGTTTCAAGACTGGGCAGGGGATGTAGCTCAGTGAGAACACTAACCTGTAAGTTTGTAACTTTGAATTTCTGAGCTAAGAGGGCCAGATGTTTTTTAATCTCCTGCATTTAATTGCTAGAGGATAGGTATTGGCCAGTTGGAAAACACTCTTATCATATGTACAAGTTTCCCCAATTCTTGCTTTTACTTCAAAGTTTGCCCCCCCTTTTGTTTATACCACCAATGAGTGGCAGTGAACAGTATGTGCTTAGGCACTGCAGCCCTACCCACTTTGTTGTTCACCATTAGGACAAATGTCAACATACTTGTTCCAGATAAGCCAGAGATTAAAGTCATTCCACACTTTTGACTATTTTAGGACATAGGTTTATTGCCAAGTTTTCACATAAATACAAGCAGAGTAACAAGCCCAACTACACTTGTAGCTTCACCCATTTGTAAAGTATTACATATACATCTATGAATTATGGATTAGAGTTTGTATCTGTAGAAAAAAATCTTTATTACAAGCTACTATAGTGCTCAAAAGAACCACTTAATAGCACTTTTTTTCTCCTGGTTGATATTCAGCAATGTCAACTATATGGTTTCTAAATTTTCTTAGCAAGTAGTTTCCTGCTGAAATACTTGTTTTTAATTTTTAGTTTGAAGCTTCTGACAGTTTTGCTTTGAGATACACCAAAAAGCCAGAATTTAAAATATTCAGTAGCATTCAAAACAATCCAACATTCATTGGAATAACTCCTTTCAAAATGACTCTACAATATAGCTGGTGCCAACACTATTCAAAGTTAGTGTGTTGCAAAAGACACACCGAGTCAAATGATCTCTAAAGGCAGTATATACATTTTACTTCCTAAAAGTTTCTTGACCAACTCTTCCATGTCAGTTTTAAATAGCACCTTAAAACACAAATGGGATTAGTGGAACAATTAAGCATCTTCTTATAGAGCCACAAATATCTTTCTAAAATAGATTCTAAAGTAGCAATTTTATTATTTGGAACTTTGGAGAAATGTTTAAAACATTATGACAATAAAACACCTTTATCCTTATGCACAAAACTACAAGAGTTAAAAATAACTGCATGACACACTGCATGGATTATGGAAGGCACAACCAGAAAGAGTTAATTCATAAAAACACATACTCCATACCTATATTTAAAAAAATCCAAACTGTACAGCAGTATTTAGCATAGTAACAGTATTGTCAGTGATAATCATGTGCCTCTGCTTGCTTCGGAGAATGTAAAAGGCAACATCTTGGGATTAGGTAAAGTGTGTTGATCTCGAAGACCTGGTTCTGTTCAGGTGGCAGGGATATATATAGCCTTAAACTGTCTTGTCTTTAAGGATCAATCTAAGGAGGAAAAACAATAATTACAAAATTGCTATTCTTAATTAGATTTTAAGAGCCACAACATTCAAGTAGGACCAAATGTGGTGTAGGGGTGAGAGTATTAAGGAAGGGTTCCTTGAGATGTTCTGAAACCACTCTCAACACTTCAATTCTTTCCTCAGGGAAACCCAGTAGTCTAGTAGTTACTCTGCTTTCAAGTTTCTATAAGTCTATTAGCACCTTGTAGTACGCTATACTAGATTTCTTAAAACATTTCAATCAAAGCAAGGTAGTACAAAGCTGGTAGGAACCAAAAGTTAGACCAGTTTCTATCTTTGACCTGTATCTCCTAGCATATCCATAAGAAGTTGCTAAGTCTCACAGAGCTTTAGTTTACTCTACTATACACAGGCTGGTACCAAAACCTGTTATGGTGAGTAGTACTTCATATGGAATTTTAGTGAAGGGTCAATAAAGACCATCAAATCTCAGTGAATTAAAAATTCACCCAGTAGAGGTAGGATTAGTTAGGTAACAAGATACTCAATTTTATGATTATAACATGAAAAGATGTTACTGTTACTAAAAGGAGATCGAAACTTAAAACATTTAAATAAGCTAACACCTAGAAAACAAAGGGTGAAAAACACTAAGTAGGAAAAATTAGTCTAGGACAACAGAGAAACACAACTCCAGTTCAAGTCTAAAGGCCACTTACTGCTTTGCTTACTAATCCACTCAAGAATGGAGTCATGAGTTAAAACTAGAACACACTATACTACACTACACAAAGTCAAGGTCTCAACTTTCAAGGTCAAATGTTTGACTCCTAGAATTGTGAACAGCAAGTGCTGTATAGTTAAAGTCAAACTGGTCTTTTTCTTGGGATGCTCAAATGCAAACCACAATTATACAGTTACACCAAACATAAGATATGTTAAAAAAGCCTTACCTAGCTCAAAAATTGAAAATTAAAAACCACAAACCCTCACCTAACTTTCACATTGAGCAAATGTTTAATACACATAGCAAGTTTTTTGCCGTAAGTGTATGAAATCATATGGTACCACCTGACAAGAAACTAAGTTTATCTAAATCACCAGCCCAAGGCATGCCTAGTACAAGAACAGGATAGCTGCAGAGGATAGTTCGGGGAAACCTAATGAAGCACTTCTGAGTACAGGCAGGGAGGCCTCAGCTTCCTCCACGATAAAAGAGCATTAAGACACCTCAGTTAAGTATTAGATTCCTGCACAAGAGCTTTATCCTATAGTTCATGGACTTGATCAATTTTAAACTTGATTTCACAAATCATAAATCCCTATTTGTTTGGTTCCCAACTCTGCTTGCTTACTGAAAAAAACCCTGTGTCCTTGAAGAATGCAATTCGATGGGAGAAACACAGTATTAGATAAAAGTTGAAGGAAACATTAGGGTGTGAAATCTAACTCAAACTGTAGTTTCTTAGTTGCCTTCTGCCTTGTTTTTTGAGATCTCACCAGCGTGGAGCTTGCCAAGTAACAAGGTTTTTGTGTCAAAGAAGTCCTAGGGATACCTCAGGCATGCTCTAACATGCCGTTTTTTTTTTTTTAATGTGGGTTGCTTACAACACAAACACTTTACTAATCATCACTCAAGCCTCCTCAATATATTCCTTTTAAGAGAATCTGACCCGCATTTTGCTTTTCCCTTTCACTCAAGGTTTGTTATTGTTTGGTTGTTTTTTTAAGAGGGAAGAAGCAAGGCAATTGGTGGCGCCTTTAATCTCACCATTCTGGAGGCATAGGCAGGAGGATCTCTGTGAGTTCGAGAATACCCTGGTCTACAAGATCTAGTTCCAGGACAGCCTCCAAAGCCACAGAGAAAAAAAAAAAAGGAAGAAAAAACAGCTCAGGCTAAGGGCACACTGGTCACTTTTAACTCCAGCACTCAGGAGGCAGAAGCAGGCAGAATTCTTAAGTTTAAGGCTAGTCTGGTCTATAACTATTGAGTTGCAGGCCAGCCAGAGATACATACTGAGTGAGACCCTGTGTCTCAGGAAAAAGTCTTTATAGCTACCATTTTTATATTTACAGTAAGCAGATGAACATGGAAGGACAGCATTTTAACCTGACCTTGACTGCCCAAAATTTAAATTATATGAGCATGAGATTAGGAAACTTGAATTAAATAGCAAGACAACAGTCTATTAACAGTCACACTAAAGCCCAGATCCCTGTCCTAAACATACCATACTTTAAGAAATGTTAAATAGAAAACAAAGCCTTAAGTCTTTTAGAGGGCAGGGGCTCATTTAGTTATTAGGCCAACCTCACTCCTCATGACACTACTTAAACCTGCATGGAAGTCAGACATATGGCAGACAATAAGCTTCAGAAATAAATTTATGTTGCTTACTACATTTTACTTGTACCTGGCTACAAATCAAGCAATATAATAGGAAATTAGCACAACAGAACTCAGTGAGACAGTACGGAAGTAGCCCAGCAAAACTGTATTTAAACCAGCAATAACATGAGTGACATAATCAAGCCAGAGGCTAAGAGAAAGCACTGCTTAAATAGGAAATACAGGCTCATAGGACCTTAGGCCAGGAGAGACAACATCTGAACCTTAAGTCTGCATTCCAAAAGGAACCACCTTCTATAGATGTGTACAGTGACAAAATGTGAGTAAGCAGTAATCAATTCCATGTGACTTAAAAGATAATCGTGTATGTAGGAAATGAAAAAGTTGTCATTAGCCCATTAACGGTATTATACTCATGGAATCCACTAAAGTATTCGTCAGTAAATTTCATGTCAATTCATGTACCTTTTAATACAATCAGTCTGACCATATGTTAAGATACACCAGGTCATACTGGAGGAGATATCCATCTGGAAGCCATTTATAGGAAACAGCTCTGTTTATTAACGGTGAGAAAGGAGACAGGCATTCATGGGAGTGGAAAGAAGCTGAACTTTAGGTTGGATTCTCAATAAATCTATTGTAGTAAAGTTCCTGAAGGGGATAAAACATGAAAATCTGGGCCAACGATCAACTAAGGAGGTATAAAAGAACTGCAGGGTAAGGCCCCAGCTATAGCCTCAATTTGTGGTGTAACTAATCTGTCTGGTTTCTGACTCATCCGGCTTCTAAGATCAGGAGAGGAAGAATGCCAGTGCTCTGTCTAGGGATTGGATAAGCCAGTACTAACAAATGAAAAGGAGACAAAAATGAGAGTGTTAAAATATCTTTTGGTAGTACTGCAGAGGGAGCAGGAGGGACAGAGTAAAGTACAAGGCTCTGTAGAAAACACTAAAATCCTGTTTATGTATTCTAATTTGCGATACTATAATTTCATGATATAGCAAGGATTTCAAGTATGAGCATAAAACTCGGGTGAGCATGTCCTTAATCTAACTCGATAAAAATTACTCCAAGGAGTATTAATAATAACCTGTAGTTTCCCTGCACAAAACCCCAGGTGAGCACCTAGTCTCCCATTTCCCTTCTTTGCCCCAATTATAATCACCTCCCGAAACAAACGAAAATTCCTGAGAAGTCTCACCCCTCCAATTTTACAACAGTTCAATTTCCCCGCAGGACAACGCCCACGCACCAGGTTAGCCCTTAGGCCTGCCCAGAAGACTCCCGCCCATCTCCCAGAAAGCCTCGACTTGCAGATCACGAGGGGAGTGGGGGAAGGGATTCTTCCAGTCCCGGGGCGGTCTTTAGAAGACAGGAGGCAGCAGAGAACTCCCGGAAAGGTATTGCGGCTCTCCCCTCCCCCCGCCGAGAAGGGTGCGGCCTTCTCTCCGCCTACTCCACTGCGGCTCCCTTATTGACTGCTGCTCCCAGCCTCCAAACCTGCCCGACCGAGCCCCCGGCCCTTCCTCCACTCCCAGGAGTGCGCGATGCAAGCCCGGCTCATCCTGCCCCTCGTGAGGCAACAACTCTAGGAGAAACCGCGCTCCCCCCCGCCCCGCCGCTCAGACCTGCCCGTCCCCGCCCCCCAGCGCGCGCTTCCTGCCACGTTGCGCAGGGGCGCGGGGCCAGCCTCTGCGGCGCGGGGCCTTGGGGAGGGCCGGAACCTGCGAGCGCCTCCCTGCCGCCCCCGCCAGCCCGCGTATGGACTGAACTTGCAGGAACGCGGGCCAATTGCAAGGGCCAGTTTTCTGAGCCCCGGGAGCCAATCAGATGACGAGGCCAGGCCGGCGGCGGGTAAACCGACTCCCCCAGAGGAAGGGGAGGGTGGGAGGCCGCCTGGGCGCCAGCCACTTTCGCTGACCTTCCCTCCCCTCCCCCGCCCCGCCCGAGGCCGGCCGCGCCCGCACGTCCAGCTCTCCTCACCCCACCTACCTCCCGCCCCACCCAGTGGGCACAGCCAGGCAGCCAGCGGCTGCGCACTCCGGCACCCGTTAACTGACAGGCGCTTCACTCCAACCAAAACACGCCATTTGTGTTTTCACACACGGCGGGAGGAGAAGAGGCCAATCAGCGACGAGACGTGAGCCGGAAGCACTCCTCCGCCCCCCGTGGGAGCCATGGCCGCGTCCGGTGATTTTTCCGCTCCCTTCGCCCTCCCCCCTCCGGTTGCTGCAGGGCGGACCGTAGTCCTGAGCACCACCCGCCTGCCCCTTCCAGCCTACGAATCGTATCGAGCAGTCCCACAAGGCGGCTCCGCCATCCTCGAGGGCCCACCGCAACCGCCCGTCCCCGCCAACGCGCCGAGCCACCCTCCCGCCAGAGTCCCGATCCCCTACCTAGCCGAGGCTCTCTGAGGAGCCGGAGCCCCAGAGCACAGCCTCTTCTTTAGGCGGCCCCCGGCAGCCTCCGCTGATTGGCGGCGAGCTGGCCAATAAGTGTGGGGCGGTGGGCGGAGAGGCCAATGGCGCGGCGGGAGGGGGGCGTGTCCCGCGTGCCCCTGGCGCCGGCACTGGGAATCCCCGTGCGGTCAGTGGCGTTTCCGCTCGGGCAGCGGGCTGAGTGAGCTGCCGCTGCCGCCGCCGCTGCCGCCGCCGGGGGAGGGGCGGCCGCCGCCCGCCTGCGCTCAGAGACTCACGCAGCCCTAGTCCCGCCAGTCCGCCAACACAGTAGTGCCGGCCCCCCTCCGCCCCTGGCCCTCCCCCTCCCCGCCTTGGGCTCGCTCCGCCTTTCTGCCCCCCACCCCCACCTCACGGGTACGGGCCATTCCCGGCCAGGAAACGCCGTGGCGCCGCGTTGGGCCTAACTCGAGTCTCGCTGCCTCCCGGGAGTGCCGTGCGCCGCAGCCCGGGCCCAGGCCCCGGCAGCGCCTGGGTCAAGGTAAGGGTCCAACAGAAAAGAGACACCGAACCACACCACCGGTCCCCGGGGGAAGAAGGGTCACCTCAGTCTCCCCGCGTTCCTTCTCCTCGGGGTCGCGGGCCTGGGCCTCCCAAGGCTGGTAGCAGGAGGATGCTGCCCTTTCCTCCCTCTCGGCTACCCTTACACACCATTGCACCTCTCTTGCACAGGGAGAAAGGCTCCTCTTAATCCAGTCGACCCCACTACCCTTTTAATGTCTTCCCTGGGTCAGAACTCTTCCCCTCCCCCTACTCTGGTCTCCCCTTTTTTTTCCTGGGCACTGCCTACTCCACGTTTATACCCTTTTCAGGAGAGGCCTCTCGCAACCCTGCTCTCAAAATACACAGGCATACTTTTTTTTTCTGTCCCTGAGCCCCCACCTCCACCCCCAGTTCTCGCGGCCTTGTGACAACTCTCATCGCTTGGGGGCCCAGTCCTCCCCTCCATAATCTTCCTGAATGCCTCCCTCTGGTTCTCGAGTCCGTATCTCAGATGGCTGCTGTTTTTTCCCATGCCAAAGACATTACCTTCACCACCCCCACCTCGCATTCTTGGACTCCCTGTGGCGTATGCCCCAGTATCTCTGCGCTATCCCTGTTGAATTTGTAGGGTTCCATTCTGGAATTGAGCCAGATTTCGTCGTGTTCCGTGCCTAGGGCGTGGAGAGCGATCTTTTAAGAACGACTTTAAAGACGGGGAAAATGTGCCCCTTATGAATTCTCTTCCCTTACGCGTGCAAGCTGCGATGTGAGGTGAGCGGCAGTGGGCAGAAGCCCTGGTTTTAGTAGGTGAATCGCGCCGAGGGAAAGTTTCAACTGCTGGGAAAGCCCCTTCTGTGCTAATTTATTCTGTAGAGCGCCTTTGCCTTTTTCATCCTTGGGAATAAGGGATCCTTCTGTGTACTGATGCTGCAGCCCGCTCTGCTGCTCTGGGTCAGGGGTGCGTGTATGACCTGCATTTTCTGCTCTCTCATGTTCCTTGTGTAATGTGTTCGCCAGCAACTCATTTTCTTGCGTAGAGCTGTGGGCTCTACTGGGTTTTGTCTATACCTGAGTTTCTTTTTCCAATTTTTCCTGTGCTTAGAATACTTAAAGAATTCAGGTCCTCTAATTTCCTTCATACTTGGACTAAATAAACTGTTTTTAGATGACCAAGGTCATGTTTACATGACTTCCTTGGGCATATGTTAAATAGCCTATACTTTTGATTGTGGAAGAAAGATCCTGATGATTATTTGAGTTTTTTTTTTTCAGGAGGTTTGTGTGCAATGTATTGAGGGGAAAGTGCTTTTTATGGTTAATTTTATATTAATAATAGTCTAAGGTCGCTAGGAGGAAAGCTATAAGAGATAGTTTTAGATGTGTGTAGTCTGACCTAGGACTAAAGCAGAGAATACTGACATAATCAGAGATTTCTGAGCTTGGAGGACACAGGAATTTTTTTCCCTTGGATTTCTTCCAGTTTTCTCGGGAAGATCATTAGTTCTCTGGCCAAAATTTGTGGCCAGTTATGGGATTAGAGCCTTTAAGGTTATTCAGATTGTCGTGTGTACAATGTTGAATTATGTCCTTCGGTAGGACATGACCCAAGGCTCTTGTTCTAGCTGTAAATTTAAATTCGATTGCTGAATGTTTGAAAAATTAGCCTTCTAAAAATAAAAACCACAGCTTACTGCTTACTCCTAAATCGCTAGTTTAATTAAAAGCTAATATTTGGAATTTGGTACATGTTGATTTTTCTAATCAAAGATCTCAATTTAAAACTGACCTTAGGATTGTTTCTTTCTAAAAGCATACTTCGAGCTTTTCCAGCATGGAGCACTGATCCAAAAAAAAAAAAAAAGTGTGTTAAGAAGTGGGGGTGGGGTAAAGAGAAGGTTGCTCCTGTGTTGGATCACAGGAGTGAGTATACAAGGCGGCAGCAGCTGCTGGCTCTGGAGCTCTGGTTGCTACGTGAGAAGCTTGAGTAGTGCTGGCTGCTGTCTCCAGGGAAGGACAGCAGTGCAGCGTCCATTAATGCTGTTGGCTTCAGGGAACTGCACTTAGGCGATGGCTGTTCAGGACTGGAAAGAAACCTTGCTTGCTTTCCTGGGATAATGCACTGCTGCTGAGCTGGTTTGCTTTTTGTTAGTGAGGAGACCAGAATTAGCAATTCATAACTGTATCCATTTATGGATATCATTATCTGAAAACTGCATCAAAGTTAAAGAATTTGGGTTTTTTTGTTTGGGGAGAGGTTGACAGCTTTTTGAGGTTTTATGCTTATATGGAACTAGAAAAGTTCATTGGTGTTTTGATCTTTTTTAATCCTTTTGAAGACTAAAATAGTAAAGATTTCCCTGAGTACCAGAACAGGGTGAGGAGGATCTTTGTTTTGTTTTTACAATGCAACTGATATGTTTTTCTCTATCTCTTAATTGCTTAAGTCACTTCTGATTTGTATGTCTCTCCATATTAGACCATCTTTGCCTTTGTGAATAGATGTTATGCTCAACGTCTTAATATAATCGAAAGCCTAAACTAAAAGGAGCTACTTTCGATTAATATTTAATTTTTGCTCTTATTTTCTGTATTAATCTGTAGGCCTCTACAAATTAGGTATCTTCACTCATGTTTGACCTATAAATTGGATTAATTGTGTGTGTGTTGGGTTATAGTCTTTTCGCTGAACAAAGATGTGTCTTGACAGTAACCCATCAGAGACACAGGAACAACCAGAAGGAATATTAAGAAATTGAGTAAGTTTAGTTCAGGATAGTAAGAAGGCAGCAAGAAACCTTTCTAAGTTTTGATATCTGCCCCCAACTAAACAGAACCAGGATGATCTCTGACTAAGCCCAATAGTTTGTCTGACAGGAATATTTAAAACTGAACCATCACCCAGGCATGTGCAGTTATTGTGGTTTTTTTCTCCTTAAGATTATTATAATTTGTAGTATGTCTCTAGCATCTGTGGCAAGGAACCAAGAAACAGTGGTGAGCATTTTGTCATTTACAGATATGGTTCGTACTGTTTTTCCAGTGCTAAAAGCAGGTCTATAAAACAAAACTCTGTCAATGATTGTTTCAGGTGTTTTTAATACAATTATTACATAGGTAAGATGCATATCCCACCAGTGTGGATTCACTCTTATTGACCATTTAATATGCTTATAGTACAAAATACTTACAGTTAAAATGCAAACGTTTTTAGCTTAATTATAACATGTAACTTTCCTTAGAAAATAATGTCTGCTAGTTTTCTGTTTTTTGGAACTGGTTGTAGTCTCACTGTCATTCTCTAGCGGATCAAGAGACTATTTTCTTAGAAGGATTACTTGGACTGGCACACTTAAAAATGTTTATATCTTCTGTTACTGTTCAGTATCTAGGAGCTTGCTTGCTTTCCAAAATTATTCTGACCCTTTTGACAAGGGTGTTTATGTCAACTTTGCCTTTGGATAGGGAAATAAAATCTTCATATTGAAATAATTTTGAAACATTAGGCCATAGTAATCAGTATTTGTTGAGTGCATATCAAAGAAAAATTAGATCGTAAGTAAAACAAGATTTTACTATAACTTTCAACTAAACTCTAGTGACTTGTCAGTTTATTTTGAAATTAAGATTCCTAGCTAGCTAGGATGAACTTAAACTGCAAAGTGCCTTGAAAATGTGTATATAATAATACAACTGGTAGTCATTTATAATTTGATTTCAAATGTTCTTTTAGACAGACTCTTAGACAAGTAATGAACCTATATTATAGGTACTCTGAACTCCAGAAATTCTAACATGTCTAGTAAATGACATGACCTTCACTTGGTATTGTTTATTTTTCCCTAGTGGCTAGAATTCAGGGAAGGTTGCAAAAGGTAGAGAGAATAGCCTTTCTTTCACTTAATCTATACATACTTTGTTAAATCATGTAATCTTAGGGAAATTGTCCTATTCTGTACTTAATTATAAATTGGGTAGAGATGCCAGTAACTCTTGACTGGAGATTGTGTTAGCAAGCATCACTAGGGAATGTTCTTATTCAGCACTTGAGGAAGGGAGCTGTGAGGTAACTAAAGGGACAGTGGTGCTAAATTCAGTCAGTCGTGTGTCTTGTGTCGTCCTCCCAGTCAGAGGCCTCCCCACCCCATGGGAGAGAGAGAGAGTGCCTGTGTGTGCGCGCGCGCGTTGTTTGTTCGTTCATTCCTTCTGAGTAAGGGCTCTCAGACCCTATCCTGCCCCACTCTTTCCATTATGATTTTTTTTTCAGAGTAACTGGGGAAATGCCTTACTTAAAGTATCTTTGATATGAAGTTAGGAAAATGAATTTTTGGCTTTTTTGAATCCTTGATATTTTCAAAACCTTAAGATGATTGGTCAGTTTTTCTTGGAACATAAGTCTTTTGCTTCAATGTCTTTTCTGTCTTGTAGTATGAGACTTCCCAGAGTTTTCATGACAAATTGAAGTGGTAGTCATATGTGTACACCCAGAGTTGAGAAAACCTTTTATCCTTAATGTTATGAGGTATAATCCAAAACAAATCAGGGCCTGTAATAATTTCTGGCTAGGGAATCAAGTTTTTGATTTATACTGATGGTTCAAAGGGAAATGCCAGTTCCTTGCTGCTCTGTTTGAGAAATAGGTGGAAGTATGGGAGGAGCCACAGACCTCTGCAGCAGGATTTGGTGTGAGTAGAAAAGGAAGATTTTTGTTTGAAATGGCCAGCTGCTTATGTCAGACTGACTCCCTTATTATGCTTCCAGTAGGCCTGTCAATATGGCCAAACAGCTAGATAAGTGCGGGGCAGGACAAAGGGCTCTTTGCACAGCAGGGAAGCAGTGTTGGTGGGGGAGGGGCAGGAGGTAGGAAAAGCAAAAGGAGGTTTTTTTTCCCTCCAGGAGATTATTCACTTTGGTTTACAATTAAAGAAACTGTTTTTAGTTCCCACTTAAGCCTTGAATTTATGCCAAGTATATACTTTTAAGCCCAAATTCCATATATTC